TGAGCCGGTGAGATTTGAACCGCTGAACTGCAGATAACAGTCAGCTGAAGTGGCCTGCAGTACTGCACCCTAACCACTGCGTCACCTCGGCTCTTAGTTATCTAACACTTACAGCAAAGCTATCAATGCATGATATAAAAACAGGTTTTGTTTATCAACTGGTTTGCTGCAGAGACTGATGCTGATTAGGGAGTGACTGGCTTAAAGTCACTCAGTAGGCTTCCATGCCCAAGGTAGGAGTAAAACCTTGATCTCCCATTGGCAGGCTCAGGACCTTCATCACTTCACCACAAGCTTTGAAGAGACTTAAAGTGGAAAAAGAAAGAGGTAAGCCATTCTGCACACTAACCTGTAGTGCTGTAGCATCTTGACCATTTGAGTGATACAAAAGCCCAAGTGCAAAAAACCTGTACAACAAGAAATATTATTAATAGCAAGTGACTTAGGTCACAGCAGGAATAAGTATGTATTATTTTAGATTTTAGATACATAAAATAATCCCTCTTTGGGGAAAACATTGAGAGCCCTTGGTTTAGATTTTCAATATATCCTGATTTTTCCAGTCTCAGATTAGCATAACTTTATTCCAAAACTTGCCTTTACTATCTACTTCCACTACACGGTAGAAGGAAAATGAAGGCTTGGCAATGAAAGTGTGCAAGGAAACAAACTCTATCCACAAGATGTCCTGCTATGCTACCTGGATTTCATTTAGATAGCAGAGATTTACTAGGAAGGAGTAATTTTGCTAGCTCAGCAAAACTGCCCTCAACTCATGGGAGTCAGTCCCGGGCCATCAGTCATGCAATGGTCCTTTAAAAATTAACTTGGATAAATCTTGAAAATCAGATTTTTTCTGATTTATATTATCCCATCTTTATCAATTTTTATAAATAATTCAAGGTAGCAAACATACACATTAGTTCTTTTTTCCTCCATAGCAACCATGTAAGGCCGTGATGGCGAACCTAGGGAACATGTGGCACAGTTGGCACCTGGAGCCATTTCTGAGGGCACACGAGGCATTGGCATGTCAGCTCCAACACGCATGCATGTGCTGGCCAGCTGATTTTTTGGCCTTGATTTTCGCCCTCCGGAGGCTTCAGGGAAACCTCCTGAAGCCTCCAGAAGATGAAAAACTGCCCAACGCGCACACTGGAAGTTCAAGAATGGACTTCCAGTTTGTGTGTTGGGCCATTTTTTGCCCAACCCTGGCTCCTAGAAAAGCTCTGGAGCCTGGGGAGGGGAAAAAATGGACCTATCGGGCCCACTGAAAGTCAGAAAACGGGCTATTTACAGCCTCCAGGGGACAGTAGAGGCCATTTTCGCTCTCCCCAGATTCCACAAAAGCCGTGTGCACATGCACGGGGCAGCGGGGATGGGTCATGTGTGCATGGACAGGGGGCACGGCACAGGGTGGGCATTAAATTATGGGGGTGGGCACACATGTTTCTTTTGGCACCCGAGGTGAAAAAGGTTCGCCATCACTGAGGTAAGGCAAGTTGGACTAAGAGAGAGTGACTTGCCCCAAATCACCCAATGGGCTTTCATGCTTAAGAACTCACAGACTCATGGTTTCTAGCTTAACCAATAGACCAACCAAAGTGGCTCTTATGGCTTTTATTTCTATAAGCTGCCGGAGTCACCATGAATTGGGCAGCCATATAATTTATCGATTTAAATAGAATAGAATAGAATGGAATGTGGAATGGGAATAGAATTTTATTGTCACTTTAAATGTACACCAAACAGCATACATTAAATGAAATTTCGTTTTATTCAGCTCTCAAAAGTTGACAATTCTAGCAGCAAAATAGTGTACATAAATTGTTGAACCCAACGGATCTAGTTTGGAAAACTAAGATGATCCAACATATGATTCAAACTCTTTGGAAATTGGGAACCATATAAATTTGAAGGTGGGAAGGAGAGGACAAAGAAGCAGTAATAGTAGTTTGCCTAAGGAGATTGTCAGTCATCCAAGTCATGATTTGTCCCAAAGGTGCTTTTACAAAAGACAACTGGGCTTTGTTTTTTCTTGAAGACGTTTCGCTTCTCATCCAAGAAGCCTTTTCAGTTCTGACTCAATGGTGGAGGATAGAAGGATTTATATTCCTTGCAGTTATCTGGTCGTTAGCAATTTCTCTGAGTGTCTGAAGAACTGAAGAAGCTTCTTGGATGAGAAGCAAAATGTATTCAAGGAAAAACAAAGTCCAGTTGCCTTTTGCAAAAGCACCTTTGGGAGTAGTAGTTGTAGCTGCACAGAGGTAGTATTACAGTAGCTGTTTGTAAAAGGATTTATTATTATTTTATTATCAAAAGATAATTTAAAAAAAAGATTGCCACTATGACTGGCTTATACCAAAGAGATTCAGGCTTCTGATTCAATATACCGAAAGGTGAACAGCAAAGTTGATAGGGCAATTAGAATAAGAGATGTACAAAAAATAGGATTATTTGGGGGGGGGAGGGGGCTTACTTTTTGTGCTTCTCCAACCAGGCAGCACTGTCTGCCAGAAGGCAAGAATTCTCAGAGACCAGGAGATCCAGAAGGCTTTCATGATTGGACTCGGCGTAGAGTTTCAACAGGGCTGTGTCAATATCCTCCTTGTAGCCATTGGTGACGCCAGTGCTGCGGACCTCACTCAGGTAGGTCATGAGAAATTGCTTGCACTTGATCATCTTCCCCTGGTCCCCCTGTGTAAGTTGGTTTAGGTCAGCATATTCGTGCAGAGGAGGGTGTGACCGCATGAATGAAGAAGAAGTAGGCAACAGTAAAGGGTAGAGAGAAATCAGCTCACGGACATCCAGCTGGCTGCTTCTGCAATTATAATGTCAAAGGTGATGTAATCGACAGGAAGACAAGTATTTNAAAAAAAAATCAGCCCCAGGCCATCCTCCTGAAGGAGCAGATCTTGAGGAATAGAGGAGAGCTTCTTAAAGCCATACATAACAGTTAGAGTTACGCAGAGTTTCATGTTCAAAAGCAAGAAGGTGCTTAAGAGATGGAGGTCACCAGCAAACTACCCTAGTTGCTTTCATGTATTGCAGACAAGTTTAACTCCTCACTTCAGGTTGCAATGTCGTCTTCTTAGTCCACAGAGCAACCTTATACTCTTATGTATTTATGTACACACACTCTCACACAGAAACACAAATTCTCTTTTATCTGTGGGGGGAGAGGGGAAGTCCACACATTTCAATCACACAGATCTTTCGTCCTCCCGTTTAATGTACAAATCTTTATTTCATTTTGTGTAATAATCTTACTAAATACTCTCCATTCCCAATATTTTTCATGTATCTAAAATGTATATTAGAATGGCAATTATTAAGTTCTCTGCTATTTCATATTAACAATCTTGATCCAAAGTCATGTGATATTTGCACCGAGCTGATTATAGGCAGCACAGCATTTTAAGTTCCTGAAGCATACTGTCCGTCTGTCCGTCGCCCCCACCCCCACCCCTTTACATTGGAAAAGTAACTATAGAAGAAATATTACAATGGCCCACTACTGGGCTGCAGGCTAATTGCCACTGGACCACGTGAATAGTTGGCCACTGCATGCACACAGCCCCACTCACATGAGTTTCGTTGCAGCTGCTCGCGACTCCACTCGCACTCATGTTGCCACGAATGTTGCGGGCACTCGTGCGCATATATGCACTTTTTTCTCCCACAAAATCATCCCCTCTCCCCCGTCCCCCCGTTCTGCACCACCAACCCGGAAAGTTTGGGGAACTCTACTTTATAATTTACAGGATGCACCAAAAAATACAGAGTTTGATTAGACATAAAAACCATAAAAACCATACAAACTATTGTAACCATTACAATAGTTTAATTGGCAGAATGTATCTAGGTTGAGATGGCAGGTTAACCTAGCTAGGAAACTTAACTAATACTGGTACTGTGGATATATAAAGAACTAAATGTGGATATATAAAGAACTATAAAGAAGAGCAGTATAAAGGTGGCGCAGTGGTTAGAGTGCAGCACTGCAGGCTACTTCGGCTGACTGCTAGTTGCAGTTCGGCAGTTCGATTCTCACTGGCTCAAGGTTGACTCAGCCTTCCAGTCTTCCGAGGTGGGTAAAATGATGGCCCAGATTGTTTGGGGACAATATGCTGACTCTGTAAACTGCTTAGAGAGGGCTGTAAAAGCACTATGAAGCGGTATATAAGTCTAAGTGCTATTGCTATTGCTAAACATTTTAAAAAGTGAATAAATAGAAAAGGAACACAGAAATAAATCAAAGATTTCATTGTATTTCCATCATCAAAGTGTTTGCTAACAATAAATTTACTGGCTTTAAAAATGTCCACTTGTGACCACTTTGTTGTTGAGTTCTTAAAGTTGTCCTACAAGGTTGCTGAGTATACTTCTTGTATACTTAGCAATAGCAATAGCACTTAGACTTATATACCGCTTCATAGTGTTTTTACAGCCCTCTCTAAGAGGTTTACAGAGTCAGCATATTGTCCCCAACANTTCTCTGTGGCAGCCCCTCAAATACTGGAACATTGTTATCATGTCTCCCCTGGTCCTTCTCTTCACTAGATTAGCCATGCCCAGTTCCTGTAACCGTTTTCATGTTTTAGTCTCCAGTCCCCTAATCATCCTGGTTGTTCTTCTTTGCACTTTTTTTCTGGTCTCAACATCTGTTTTATAGTATGGTGATCAAAACTGGATGCAGTATTCTAAGTATGGTCTTAGTACGGCTTTATAGAGTGCTATTAGTACCTCACTTGATCTTGATTGAATTCCTCTTAGGATTCAATCAAATTTGGGATTGAGCTTTACAGGAGTTGGGCTGAAAAAACCTATCTGGAGTTCTCATTCAGCTACTGTTAAAAGATCAGATGGAAGCCATAGGCAGGAAAGCTTTCCTCAGTTTTGAATGGTGTACCTGTAATGGTCTTTCTTGACCAATGATCAATTCTGACATCTTATTTAGAGCACCATAACTCACTTAACAAGAACCTGCTCTTGAAGACTGTCCCAAAATTCAATTACTGTGTACAGAACATACTCACATACTAATATGGAGAATTCACGGCTACTGTTATAATAGTACAGCACTGGTTGCTGGTTTGTTCCAAACACAATTGAAGTTGCTGGTTATAACCTAATCAGATTGCAATCTGATTATCTTCACACGTATCTATTCCAAATAGAATCTAATAGCTGGTTTGTCCAAGGATGCATGTTTAAAGCATAGACACACACTGTCCTGTGTGGTATGACAAATAGCAGGTTGGAACTAACATATTGTGTTGGCCTTTCTTTATGGAATAGTTTCTCCCAGATGAGAATCCCCCCTTGTTAAAGATTCAATCTGGGTTGGTCACTGGGACCAGAGGTTTAGTCTTTTCGTGCTGGAGCCCATCCTCAGAGAATTTCTCTCTCACCAGAATGTGTGCTTTGAGCTATTATATATATATATATAGCATTTATATGGCACCTGATTGTGTGTGGCCTTTTAATTGATTGGGCTGTTGATGGTCCACTATTAAGTTGTTGGCTGCTGTTTCCTTCTGTTGCCAAGTCTTCAGCTCCTAAGTACCTGATAAGCTGCTGGTAAATCAGCACTCCTGTTGATTGACAAGGGGCCCCATTTCCCAGTCTTGTTAAATTTGATTTGGTCCTTTGGGGACTGAGATTAGTATGTTATCCTGGAATGAGAAGATTGCTCCTTTCAAAACATCTGGATTGCATCAGATTTGAGTTTGACTGAATTAAAGAGTAGAACAACTTCTCCTTAATGGGGAGCAATTGCAAATATTACCCATTCTAGCAGTTGCTCAGTTATTGTAGAATAGAATAGAATAACAGAGTTGGAAGGGATCTTGAAGGTCTTCTAGTCCAACCCCCTGCCTAGGCAGGAAACCCTACACCACTTCAGACAAATGGCTATCCAACATCTTCTTNCCTACCTAGGTGGTCATTAGGGCAGAGAACCGGTTGTTAAATTATTTCAATCCCACCACTGCCCACCCCTGACTGTGACCAAACTTCCAGGGATTCCCCAAGTTCTGGAAAGTTGTCTTCTGAGGAACGTATCACTTCTCTTGAATGATCAGCTTCACACGGTCTCCTTAGTATGTGTGTAAGTGTGTGTTGGTAAAACCGTGGTTGAATTTAAACTACAGGTCCTCCCCATCTATCGCTGCATAGGAAGGATGCATTTGCTTGTGTGGGAATTATGTGTTGTTAGTGGAGCCCTGAAATTGTGACGATGGGCATCCCTTCCCTCTGTCTCATGCTGTTCTCTGTTGGCAGCAGAGGTCCTGGAAAAATGTCGTTTTTTGTTGTTGTCCCTCAGGGAGAAGTGACAGCATTCCTCCACTCTGCCATTGTTTTCCAAGTCTAAGCTTCATTTTAATTATTGTTTTAATTTTGGCCACTCCAGCCCCAGCTTACCGTACGCCACCCAGATTTCCCGAAAGCTCTTTTTTTTTGGTTCCTCTGCATTCTTCCTTATCATGGCAATGTTTAATTCATTGATTTAATTGCCCTGCTTTGCAGTGCTTCCTTTTCCCCTACAAACTGTGGTTATTTTATGACTGAACTCTGGTCCCATCCTGGTTCTTAAAGTCTCTTCATTTGGGGTCCTCAATTTCCCTTGGATTACAAAATGGGCTCCTTAGATTTTGAAGTGAAGCCATGAAGTGGGGTGAAGAGACTCGGGTTCAAGTCCCTCTCCCATTCAACCACCAAGCTGAGATCTAACCATACTTTCAGTCCAACCCATCTCTCAAGGTCTTTGGGGGCTTGTGTACGGGGAGTAGGGGGTACAATTAAAGGAGGATACCCCACTTACACCTTCTTAAAGCAGGGGCGTCAAACTCGATTTCATGGAGGGCCGCATCAGGGTTGTGTTTGACCTGGGATAGGGGCGGGGTGAGCGTGGCCGGTATGGGCATGGCCAGCTTGACGTCACTCATGTCGTGGGCACCGGTGGTGGCTTAAACACTCTGCCAGCGAAAACAGGCTCCCGAGCTCCGTTTCGGCTGCAACGGCCTCCTGCAGCCCTCTACCAGTGAAAATGAAGCTTGGGACGGCTGCAAGAAACTCTTCTTCTCTCCGTTTTTACTGGCTGAGGGCACCGGTCCTTTCACTGTTTCCAGGGTAGCTCCACAGGACAGATCTAAGCACCTCACGGTCCGGATCCAGTCCCCAGCCCTTGAATTTGACGCCCCTGGCTTAAAGGAAGGATAGAAATGCCAGCAGCATATTAACAGTGCTAACTAGAAGTAGCAATAGCGCTTAGATTTATATACTGCTTTGCAGCTCTCTCCAAGCCGTTTACAGAGTCAGCATCTCAACAATCTGTGTCCTCATTTTACCGACCTTGGAAGGATGGAAGGCTGTGTCAACCTTGAGCCCCACCAGATTTGAACCTCTGGCAGTGGGCAGAGTTAGCCTGCCGTCCTGAATTTTAACCATTCTAATCACCAGGGGCCCCGCAAGCCTCACTGAGCACAGTGAATGGTATTTACCTAACCTGTTATTACTCGGATTTACTTCTGCGTTCCTCTTCTTTTGAAACCGGCAGTGGTGGAATGGCCCATTGTTGTCCCGTCACGTGCTTTCTCAACTGTTGTGACTATGGCTCCAGACTGTGGTGTGGAAATCGGCAGGGGAACAATGATGTTCTTCAGCTGTGGGCTGATGAGGCAAGACATGGGAGGTGGGGGACGTGACTCCTTGCTAGAAAAATAAACGAGGAAGGTTGTGAAATTGACTTAAAGCTGTCGAAACTGCTAGGGTATTTTGAATACGGAGGGTCAGACATTCTCAGTGATGGGAAAGTTGGACTTTTGTCATCCATGTGGAGCTACAGTTGAGCTGAGCCCAGGCACTAAAACTCCTCCAGGTGTCAGGGAGCGACTCCCAGGTAACGGCCAAAACTGCATAAATACCTGCTATTTTTACGATGCCACCTGGCTGAACAGTGTGATAAGCACTTCACTAGGTCCAAGTTCCAGGTCTGTTTCCCTCTTTGTAGCGTCAATCAATCACCTTCTACAACACCTGGAGGTGCAGCTCAGAGAGCACATAGTGAGCTCTGATCCCACCGGAGCCCTCACCATGTGGGACCAGCAAGAATCCCTCATGGCAAAACGGCAAAAAGAAGGAAGCTGGGCCGAGGCAGCTGCGGTGCAGTTTGTCCATCAAGAACGATGTAGATCAGGGGTGTCAGACTCAAGGCCTGGGGGCCGGATCCAGTCCACGGGGTGCTTAGGTTTGGACTGTGGGGCCACCCTGGAAACAGCGAAGGACCAGGGCGCGGTGCTTCTGCCAGTGAAAACGGCGCTCGGGAGGGCTGCAGGAGGCCTCTGGAGGCCATTTTCTTTCCTGGTAAAGCACTTGGGCCACTCTAGGCACCCTTGACACAAGTGATGACGAGCTGGCCACACCCACCAAGACCACACCCCCCCACAAATACCCCGCCCCCCCAGGTCAAACACAACCCTGATGTTAACCCTGATGTTAGAGCCGAGGTGGCGCAGTGGTTAGGGTGCAGTACCGCAGGCCACTTCAGCTGACTCCTAGTTCTGCAGCTCAGCGGTTCAAATCTCACCGGCTCAGGGTTGACTCAGCCTTCCATCCTTCCGAGGTGGGTAAAA